GATGACTGAGGAGAAAACAATAATAATATATTTCTACTGATTTTCAATAGCTGGATTTGGCCACTTAAGATAGTTTTTCTGGTCATGATAATAACATATATGTAAGATGGATAGCTTCATGAGAGATTCAAAGACAGTCCTAAAATACTGCCAAAGAGCTTTCTACACATAATGTTAGAGTATTCTAACATCATGGAAAATATTCTGAAAGAGCAACTTATGTAGCCATTATTAAAACAAGAGATTTAAATCTCCCAAGTCACATATATGAGGAACTGCATAATTAAAACATAATGACCAACATTTCTACTGAGGACTTTTTATGTCAGAAACACATCCATATTTTATAGTTGTTCTTCTTTCATACATAATAGCTCTAGAGTATAAGTAGTATGACCCCATCTATATCATATGAGATGATCAGGTTTAGCATCAAGGTAAAACTTGAGCTCAATGGAAGATCAAAAATACAAATTAAAAAAAAAAAAAAACATCTTAGAGAGGATGCTTCTCAGTGTCATCTTAGATGATATATTAAAGACATTAGGTCTGGTAATAAATGGTCAAAAATACAGCACTGAAACAATACACCTATTGGCATACCTACTACATTGAGATTCATTTTTTGACAAAGTTGCAATTCTTTATTTTGTGCAATCATCTCATTTCAATTCACCAAAAAATGTAAAGTTCTCAATATGTTTCTAGGGTTTAATCAAGAAGAGAAAGATGAAATCAAAGTAACACACTACCCCAGAAAACCTCTGAGATTATATCAAGATAAAATTATATCAAGAGCTATTTTGATAACATATGGTAATTCTGAATCTATAAAAAAAGCCAATGTACAGGGGGAGCACAGATACCATTACATAATCCAGACATGATTTGGTAATAATATGGGAATGGCACCTGGAGAGTGTTAGAAAAACTTGTTAACTGAAGTGGAAAAAGGGCATGTTGGGTGAATCCACATCTATCCCTGGTAACAGCATAGGCTGAGATTGATGAAGATGATACTATTTGAAATGAAAACTTCTGCTTCATTTTCTCCTAAGATATTTACTATTTATATGGAATATGAAAAAAGATGAAAAATACCAAGTAAATGATATTATTTTATTAGTATAAGAAACATGTTTCTCTGAAGTTCATCTTGAGGTCTCAGCTAACACCATCATTTTCTTCTACAACTTCACATTCCTTTTCTAGCACAAGAACATTACCATTGGTATCTTGGCCCTGATACACCTAGGGGTGCTGATAATGATGGGGTTTATAGCTACAGATTTTTTTTTTTGTCTCAGAATTTTAGAGGTGACATCAAATGTAAATAAATAATCTACTTCCACAGGTTTTTTGGGGGGCTTCTCCATTTGTACCACTTGCCTGCTGAATGTCCTCTATGATACCACCATCAGCCCCAGAAGCTCCTGCTTGGCAAAGATTAACCATGAATTCCCACATCAGAGCCTGTGATTCCTTGTTTCCTATGGGTATTCTACATGATGTTGAATGCTTGCTTCTCATTCTCTTCTACTGCCATCACCAATGTGACCTCACATGATCTTATATTTATTACTGTATGCTGAACAATTGCACCAATGTGTTACTTCCCAAGGCATTTATTTTTTATATTGGGGGTATTCCAGGAAGTCTTCTTTCTAGGGCTCATGTCCTTAGTTCGGTCTAAAGGTCAATAAATAGATAAACCTCTCACTAAAAAGTAAAGGATGTTATCACTATTAATACCTGAACATTAAAATAAATAAACAATGTTTACAACTCTAAGCCCATAGATATGAGAACTTAGATTACATAGATCAATTTGTTGGAAGACACAAACTATCAAAATGCATTGTGTCCTTGGTGATCATCATAAAGGGAAGAAATTATTGGTTTCAGCATTGGATCCTCACCAAGCCATGGGTTTATTAAGGGTAGGACCATGACATGGTATCAATTATATGTCAAAGGAAAAAACAATTAACATAAATAGAAAATGGTTCCCTCAGAAGAAGACAGAAGAAATTACAAGCACACTGTGGCAGTGCATAGAATATCCAAAATGTGGCCTCTGTCTACTGGGGAATCTACAGAATGCATGAACTCTATACCTGCTGGGAAAAAGAAAAGTGTTGCAACCCTCCAGCTAATTGGGCTTTTTAATTTGGTATTATAAAAAAATTAGCCAATGATAAAGCAATATTTCTTGCAGGATTGAATGCTGATGAGGCATTTGCAAGAATATAAAACAGATTCCCAGAGCTATTCAGTACAGAAATGTTGTCCAGAAATGAACTTCAGAAATAGCCCAAATGTCCATCATTTGATTAATTTCAACTTTGGTCTATCTACACCATGGAAGGTTAAGATCTTTGCATATGTGGAGTGTTTTCCAGGTTGTTTCATTGAGTAAAAAAAAAATAAGGGGCAGACAGAATATTCAGGAGCACTCCCTTTGGGGTAAGAAAGAAATTTACATAATAACATATCATTATTCTTGCCTCCTACCAAAACAAGAAACAGTAAGAATATATACTAGAAACAAAATAAAACAGATGTTCATGAGGGGCAATGGGAGGAGATTATTAGGGATGGGGTAGAGGTGAGACTTTAGTGTATTTTAACATGGGTTTATATTTGAGCCACATAAACAATGACCATATTCAAAACATAGAATTAATTAAAGGACAAAAATCAAGCCTGACAGACAGGTGAGAATCTGACCACCCAAACATGAACATACTGTTCTGTGACTAAATAATTTCTTAAGCTTGCATAATTTCCAGAATCTTTTACTCCAATGTGAACAAAATTTTTACCTAAAGTAGCAACCCTGGTTGTGGTGTTACAGTTACTGGTCAGTACTTGGCAATAAATGATGTCAGAATTCATATGCAATGTTTATTGTCAGCACAGCAATGGGTCACATGGGTTTCATGCTTTCTTCATGAGACTGTAGTTTACAAGGGCAGGGGCCACTTCTTATCTAGAGTGAGCAGCCTGCTAAATACACAGATACTACTATTAACATACACTGAAGAATTCTTTAACAGTTTAATGCCAAGAACATAGAGAGGACTTGACAGTTGCTTCCAGGTCCAGATTTCAGAAGCTTGGCTATCCACACTTGGCTATACACACTTGAGACTCAGCAGTTTCTCTGCTGCCCCGCCTTTGGTTCCAGAGAGAGCATGTCTTCCTCTAAGCTAAGACAGAAATACAGACCTGAAGTACCTGGCATTTGGTGATTTCCCTTTTGGGGTGGCTTTACTCCAAGATATTCTCCAATCCCTGGAGTAATTGAAGTCCTCAAAGTTGCTCCATTATCTTGATAACAGCAGCCCTTGCACTGAAGGATCTCACAGAGAGTGCATTTGAATGTCATCTCCTCCCAGCCCTTGTGATAATCCCATTCCCGTCAAGCAGGCACAGAAAAGTGCAAAAGTGACAACCGGGGACAGAACTGGCAGGTGACAGTATAGTGTGGGATTTCATAGATTCCATAAAAAATTCCTTTTTACATATCTATATCTATATTCTATTGGCTCTGTTTCTCTGGGGAACACTGACACAGCATTGTCAGGTTAAATGAGTTAGTGAGTGGACAGCACTTGGAGCTGTTGTAGGCACCTTGTAGCGGCCCCTTTGATGTGATTTCACCTCCTTACCCACTCCTTCAGCTGGTGGATTGAGTTGTGTTGATATTTAGAAGGGGACCCATATGCTCTGGCTCATATAGTAAAATCATTTCCTGGAGAGTGGACAATCTTGGAGGGTGAGTAGCCCTGCATTTGCTAACAGATATAACTGCCTTAGCCCAGGTAGACCCCAACAAAGGGGTAAACTGGACCTTCAAGGCTCATGATTTTACAGAGGCTGACCCAGAAGAAGTAGCCTACACTGTCCTGTGGAACAGGATCAAACTCAGACTCAGGTTCAAATTCTGACTAACTATGAACATTTATGCTAGTTTCTTCATCTCCATGACTGGAAGAATATGTGCCTTCAATAAATGTTAGCCCCTCTTCTTTAGAAACAATTATTAAGATTTCCCCTGGGAAGAAGTTCCACGTGTCTTCTCCTAACGTCATGTGTATTCTATGTCCTGTATGCCATTCCATCGTACTTTGTATCAGCAAAATATCACCCAAGGAGATTACAGAATTCAATACAGTCTCATGGTTTTCTGGTTCTTCCCCAAGAAATGGCACAGGGAGGCCTTAGGAAATTCGTGCAATGAAGCTGAAATATTTTATTGATAACAATTTTATGGAGACCAGGGGTATTGTAGCAAATGACCTCCTAGGCCTGTCTCTTCTCACCTTGGTGAACATTGGGGCCAGGGAAGGGGTGGGGAGTGATGGCTGGGGCTAAGAGGCAGTGCCCCTGGTGCAAGCAGAGACAGGGCCTGGGGGATGTCACGGAGGGTGCTGGTTTGGGCACCAGAGGACCCCAGATTCCAAAGTGGGTTCCTGCCACTTCCTAGCTGTGTGACTCGGAGTCCATTGCTTAACCTTGCAGGCCTATTTTTTCTCTGTGGAATAGGGAGGACGGTAATACCCTCTTAGGGCAGTTGTGAGGACCTAAGGGGAGTCATTAAAGTTCTCAGCTGCTATGATCACTACTTTCTCTGTGGTCCAAACCTGGGCTGAGGCGCCCGGGTCCAAGGCCCTTGCAGGCGCATGCGCACAAACTCCCGCCAGCCAGGTGAGACCCAGACAGCTGCCTAGCCCCTGGATTTTAATCCTTCAGGGTCAAGGGGGTGGGCAGAGTGGATTCAGGGGAAGGAGTAATGATAGAAGGTCGGGAGAACTGCTAGTTCTGACCCTCCAGCCTGTGGGCTGTGTAAATGGGAGCCCGCCAAGATGGGTCCAGACCTGGTCTGAGCACCCAGCAGTGAGGGCGGGGGACTGAGAAGAGGAGTGGAGTCTCGCGAGATTTCATGGTGGTGGCGGTCGTGGTGGCGGCAGAGGCCCCGTGGCTGGTGAGTGGCGGGCTGTGGTGTTGGTCTTTCGGGGCTGAGGAGGGTGAGAGGGGCTGAAACCAAGGCCCTGGGCGAGGGGAGCGGGCAGGCATGTGGCCCACATCTTTGGAGGAGCCCAGCACACCCCGTGGCTGCGGTGGCACCACCTGATTCGCGCTACCCGGACCTGCGCCCAGCTGGTCAGCCAGGGCTGCGGGCCGGTCCTCCTGGCCAGTCAGACCTCCCACTCGGGAGTGACCCCAGGTCCCGCCTCAGTTTCCCGGGTGGAGGGGTGGCGCTGCTGGCCATGGCAGCTCCACTTTGCTGTGTGGCAGGCACTTAACTTGTGCGCCTCCATGCTCGGAGTGCACAGAGAGGTGCAGCGCCCTGACCAAAGTCACACTGCTGGGACGTGGTGGGATGGGCTTCCCACACCCACGCGGGCCTGCACCCCTTCCTTTCCTCCAGTCCTTCTCCCAGCAGTGCTCACAGCTGGTTCCCTGGGGTCCTGGTGGGCTGCAGAGTGTGTGTCTGGGACCCACTCTGAAGTTGGATGCAGCATGGTATGTGAGTTCCTTGGGACAGGCTTTTTCCACGCCTTTTGTCCGATTCCCGGGAGGTCTTCCACCCCTAAACTGTCTATTGGCCCAGTGTGAGAGGGCAGAGGTGGGCTTAGAGTGACCCTTGTACGCCAGGGGTGGGGTCACTAGCCCAACAAAATGGGAATACTGGAGCCGAAGCCTTGCCTCAGGCAAAGGAAAGTTTGATTCCCCTTGGAGCACCGATTCCAGTCTGGGACAGTTGGTTGTCAACCCCAGAACCAAGGCTCCTCTCCTTGGTGTTGAACGTTTATCAAGTCACTTGCACACATCACTGAGGGGGGAGGGGAGGCCCAAACCAAAGTCAGACAGAAAGTGGGGACAGCGCTCCCCATCCCTGCAGCTGCCAAAGCCAGAAGGAGGAGAGGAGCCCCCCCGAGGGTGGCCGCCCCACAGTGGAGAGGAGGGGCAGATGTCAGCCAGACGACAACGTCCCCATGCACCACAGCACTGCTGCCCGGCCACCACTGCCTTCCGAGGCACTGCCCAGCATCCTCCCTGGTCCTCGGGTAGGCGTGGCTCTCAGAAGAGCAGGGTGCTCATGCTGCCCACCTCACTTGGCTCCTTGATGAAGATCTCGAAGGACTGGGAGATGTTGGTGACAGCCAACAGGATCCCCATCCCCAAGCCGATGGCACCCAGGAAGGCAGCCAGGACCAAGAGGCCCCAAGGCACAGGCCCCCAGAGTGAGGGGACCGAGTGAGGGGACTCCTGGAGTACCAGGTGGTGGCCGCAGGGCCCTCAGTCCCCAATGCCACCCAGGGTGCCCTGAGCTCCCCCAGCAGCTGGCCGGGCTGACACCAGCTGCCCCCCAGGCTGCGGGTGGCACTTTCGTCCGGATCTTGTACAGTCACATCAGGGGACTTGGGGGGACCACAAAATGCTGCCCATGAGCCTGGGTCATTCGCTCAGATTCAAAGGGCAAAAGATCAGCCAGTGGCAAGGACCCGCGGGTGACCTGGTGCTGTGGTCCCCTAGCTCCTGAGACGGGCCTTCTCCATTGAGAGCCACTGAATTCCCCACTGTCCATCGCTCAGCAGCCAGTCTGGGCAAATGGGGGGTCACTTCTGGCTCTAGCTGTGCTGAGACACTTGGACCACAGGGTCCTTTTCTGATTCCTACTCCAGCATGCATTGTCGGGGACTTGTCCCCTCAGCCCTCGGCTACTGGTGGGGAAGAGGCCCTCCTGCCACCTGCACTGAGCAGGCCCAGGCCCAGCTCCTGTTCAACCAGAAAGACAGAAAATCCCGAGGGCATGACCTGCCCACTTCGGCCACTGGGCCTGAGGGGAGGCAGGGAGGCTTCCAGCACAGGGGCCCAGGGAGGGCTCAGGAGCCAAGGAACGGCACCTAGCTGTGGCACAGGTGGCAGGGCCACTGTGCTAAAGATGTGTCCATTCTGCACCTGACCCCCTGTCCCCACGGCCTGGAGCAGCTATTCTCAAAGACAGGTTGAGGCCAGGCAGGGGCCAGAGGCCCCACTGTGTCTCCAGGAAGGTCTTACTGTCCTTACTGGTTTTATTCCTGGAGAGACCTGCGTTCTCCTCAGTGTTTAGAGCAGCTCAACTCACAGTAGCCAAGCTACAGAACCAGCATAGATGCCCCTCAGCAGATGGATGGATAAAGAAACTGTGGTCCCTATACACAGTGGAATATTACTCAGCCATAAAGAAGAATGAAATGATGGCATCTGAAGGTCAATGGATGGAGCTGGAGAGGATCATGCTGAGTAAGTAAGCCAATTCCAAAAACCAAAGGCCGAGTGTCCTCTCTGACATGCAGATGCTGACTCACAATAGGGGAGAAGAGAAGAGAATTTCATTGGATGAGACAAAGGGAAGGGAGGGGAGGGACTGGGAGAGACAGGGGAATGAATGGACGTCACTTTCCCATGTTCACATAGGAACACAACCAGGGAAACCCCACAGCAGGGCCAGCCACAGGAATGAAAATCACACCCCGTGTAGGTGACATGGCAGGATGAAGGCTGCTGTCACGGGGAGCTAAGAAGAACAAATTCAGAGACAAACCTGTGTTCCCACCTATGACAAGGGACAAGGCGCGATGTCAATCAGTGTCCTCATCAAAGATGAAGTGGGCTCTGCTGGCCTCTGGGAGCCAGTGTGAGGGAGCTGACACTCAGGTCACCAGAGCGGCCCCACCTCCTCAGGCCTTTGCTCCCTACAGGATTGTGGAGCCTCAGAGGCCCGCGGAAACCCTGCCATTCAGGGACAGGGCAGCTGTGGCCTTTGGTCCCCCTGCTGTCTCCTCCCAGGGGCAACATGCACTCCCTTCTTCCCATCCTGACTTGTGACATCACGGGTAGGGACAGACCCGGGCAGCAGGGACAGCCGGCAGCACCTACCTGATAACACAGTGGCCTTGGTTGGAGGCAAAAACCACGATGGGGGCGATGGAAGATTCCAGAGCTCGGTGCAGGGAGGTGAAGCCCTCGATGGCCAGCATGTGCACCTCGTCCACGAACAGCACGCTGGGGACCAGCTCGGACACTCCCTGGTCGATGTACTTGTTCACCACCTTGTTGATCTCGCCTTGGACAGGGTCCCAACCAGTGCGGGAAATGTCACCTGCTCTCTTCTCCCCACCTCAATTCCCTCCAGACCCAACCCTGCAGCCTGGTTCTCCTACTGGCTCTCTGACCCCAGGCTGGGTACTGGACCCATTCCAGGTTTGGTGTCATCATTTGAAAACAAGAATCATGCCAGGTGTGGTGGCACACGCATATAACCCCAGCAGCCTGGGAGGTTGAGGCAGGAGGATCGCAAATTGGAGGCCAGTCTAAGCAACTTAGTAAGGCCCTGAGCAATTCAGTTGAGACCCTGTCTCTGAATAAAATACAGAATAAGGCTGGGGACGGGGCTCAGGGGTCAAGAGCCCCTGAGTTGTATCCTTGTACCCTCATCTAAAAAAAAGAAAACAGGCATCATCGCCCCCAAATCCCACAAAAAGCCTTCTGTGGAGCTGTGTGGGGCGCAGTGTCCAGGAGCTGCCCCATCTAGCCCTGAGCCTGATGCTGAGACACCCCACTTGGGAGCCCCAGGGAGATGCGTTTTCATATGCAGATTCTCCTCTGCTGCACTCAGTCAAGGAGCCCTTTTGGGGCCCTGCGTGAGAATGCTCAGGTTCATGAACTTTCCATCCAGTGCAGTTAGAATCCTTTCCCTGGGAAACCTGAGCAAGGAGGGTCAGAGCAGGCCCAGGCTCGGCTCCAGAACCACCAGCCTCTGCAGAAAGGCAGACCCACCTCAGGTCCCAGCCCTCACCAGCGCCCCCTGTCATCAGGATGGAGCTGTTCCCAAAGAACCGGGATCTGAGGCCTGTCCTCGCCCAGAGCCATGACGCGGGGCTGGCAAAACCCAGTTCAGAGACAGATCTGCTCTTGGCCACTCATGGAGGAGCTTAGGCTGCTGCGAGGCCTCAAGGCAACAGTGGATTCATGTTGAACTTACGTTTTCAGGGAGTAAAGTGGTAATGGGCCTGAGAAGGACATAAAATTGGGGAAGAGCCGGGTGCAGTGGCACACACCTGTCATCCCAGCAGCCGGGAAGGCTGAGGCAGGAGGATCACAAGTTGGAGGCCAGCCTCAGCAACCTAGCAAGGGCCTAAGCAACTCAGCCAGGCCCTGTCTCTAAATAAAAAATAAAAGTGCTGGGATGGGGCTCAGTGGTCGAGGGCCCCCGAGTTCAATCACTGGCATAAAAAAATAAGTCTACAAAGGAGCAAGGGGGACCCACTGCCTGGTGTCAACGTCGGCACCTTTCTGGGACCTCAAAGGAAGCTGATGCTGACCTTAGTGGGGCCAGAGCACACAGTGTGGCCACGGCTTCTAAAGGGAGTGAAGACCCAGAGCCGTGCAGTGGGGGGCGCTCAGAGCCGGGAGCATGTCAGAGGCAGGGCCTCAACTTGGCTCTGGGCCCAGGCTTCGCCACGCATCCTCCCTGTGATCTCTGTCTTCTTTGGCTTCATCAACTGGCCCATCATGGACAGGATGTCTTGTCCCCCCTGTAGGAGAGAGGACTTTCTAAGGCTGCTACCAAGGCCCATCCTTCTGCCTCCTGCGGGTCCTGATGTCACTCAACTTGGAAGCCTGAGGTAGACAGGCCCAGCACAGCTCCCCTGGGAAGGATGAGGGGCTCCTGAACTCAGAGGGATCCCCTGGAGGTTTCCTCTGACCTGCAAGAATCAAGCAGAGTCGTGCATGGTGGTACGTGTCTTTAAAAATCCTGACAATTTGGGAGGCTGAGCCGGGAGGACCGAAAGTTGGAGGCCAGCCTCAGAAACTTAGTGATGTCCTGAGCAACTCAGCAAGACCCTGTCTCTAAATAAATATAAAAAGGGCTGCGGACGGGGCTCCATGGGTAAGCACCCCTGGGGTTTAAGCTTCAGTACAAAAACAAAAACAGAAACTCATATTGGTCTAGAAGTTTCTCGGTGGTGACAAGTAGACAGGGGAAGGCCTAGTGGACCATGGGCCCAGCTGGTGGCCAGGAGAGGGGCTGCAGGCGCTGTTTCTGGCCATGACAGCACAAAGGACACGGGTTTCATCTGCTGGCTCTGGTATCTAAGTCCCTGACAGGGATCTTTATCACGTCAAGGGAGCAGCACAGACCTGGACAGATGACCCTCTCTCCCTCCCTCTGCAGCTTTGCAGGAATTCAAAGGTGCAGGGACAGAAGGCTCCTGTCTGAGGGGAGGCCACGGCTTGCCCTTTATTCTGTGGCAGGATCTAGAAATGTCTCCTCATCTGTTGCCATCAAAAGCCCCTGCTGTGTCCCCCACCCCCCCCCCACTCCAAGGGCGACTACCATCAAATGTGCCTGGTGACCTCTACTTTTTCAAATTTTAAAGCATTTCAGTTCCCACTGAGCCATTGAAACTCAAGCAACTGTGTGAAGGCCAGTTTTATCAGGTTTTTGTCTCACAAAAATGGGTTTTTTAAAAAATTTTTTTAAGTTGTAAATGGACACAATTCCTTTATTTTTATTTTTTTATTTTTTATGTGGTGCTGAGGATTGAACCCAGGGCCCCACACCTGTTAGGTGGGTGCTCTACCACTGAGCCCCTTCCCCAGCCCAGAAAAATGGTGTTGTTGTTGTTTTTTTTAATTTAAGTTCTTAAATTAATATTCAGGTATTTGAAAGGTTGTGATATCTTACTGGTCACATTTATTTTTGATTCTTTTTGGTACCAGGAATGGAATTCAGGGGCCCTCAACCCCTGAGCCCCATCCCCAGCCCCTTTTATATGTTATTTAGAGACAAGGTCTCACTGAGTTGCTCAGGGTCTGGCTAAGTTGCTGAGGCTGGCCTCCAACTTGTGATCCTCCTGCCTCAGCCTCCTGAGCTATTGGAATATGGTTCATATGTTTAATTAATGAGTTAAATAAAATCACTGGCACATGTTTAAATAAGGAAAAGTAAGCCAGGCACCATAGCACACATCTGTAGCCATAATTACTCAGCATACTGAGGCAAGAGGATGGTTTGAACCCAGGAGTTCCAGGACTGCTTGGGAAACATAGTGAGACCCTGAAAAATAGAAAATGAAAAGGGAAAAGAAAAGGAGAAATGAAGAAAAAACAATAGAGAGAAAAATTTTAAATGTAAAACCCAGGTGTGGTTGTACACACGTATAATCCCAGCAGCTCAGGAGGCTGAGGCAGGAGGATCGAGAGTTGGAGGCCAGCCTCGGCAACTTGGCAAGACCCTGTCTCTAAATAAAATATAAAACATGCTGTGGACGGGGCTCAGGGGTGAAGTGCCCCTGGGTTCAATCCCTGGTACCAAAAAATAAAAATAAAAGCCTAAGTTCAATGTAACACAAAGCTTAGCTTCTGGACACAAGTTCAGAATTAGAACTCTTCATTTCAGCATTAGTGTCACACAGGGGCTGGGGGTGGCTCAGCGGCCATAGTTCCAAAAGAGGGAGAGACAGAGACAGACAGAGAGAGAGCAACAGGGAGAGAGAGAGAGAGAGAGAGAGAGAGAGACAATTGAGATGAGGTCCCTGCTGATGTTGGCCCTGATCACTTGGCTGAGGTGTCTGTCACACATCTCCACTGTAAGTGACTTTTTTATTCCTCCATTGAGCACTGGTATGTCAGGCAGGATGACTGAGGGCAAAGCATTCTTGTGAGAGTTCTTTGGCATGGGAATTGGGGCTTTTTCCCACACTTGCCTATTCATTCAGTCATTTGTTTACACCAAAATGGCCTTAAGACTGTTTATTTAGACTCTTGGCTACAATCCACCATAACTTCATTTGTTATTCAATTGCCCAATTGTTCCAGCTTTGGCCAATGGGAGCATGTCCAGTGCCTCCTGTGTTCCAGGGAGCAAGGTTCTTTACTGTGTGCTTTTCTCTTTAAGCTCTGCCAAACCCTGGGGAAACTGACACACTCCAGGACCACTAGTGGATCTCCTGCTGCAGGCCTTTATCCAAGAAGCCCCATTCCTTTGATGTGAGAAAGCTTGTAGGAACCAAGAGTGGCTCTGGCATCCTCAGGCTCCTTGCTGTGCATTATCACTTCTAGGCCTATCACACTCTAACCCCAAGAGCACACCGATTAACCACATTTTCCAAATGTACCCCATCTGGTAAGAATGAGGCAGATCGGGCATTCATGCTGTCCTCTCCTTCAGTCCTACCACTGGGTCCTTCTGAACTTGGCTTACCTATTTGCACAGTAAAGAAGCTTGCTCAATATCCACTTTCCATTGTCCGTTTCCAGTGTGCAGAGCCACAGGGCCAGGGTGGCACACAGTCACCACAGGAGCAACCAGGGAGCAGTTGCATGTGGACTCCTTCGGTGCTGCCAACTTGGCTAAGGTCCAGCGATGTGGAGGTCAATGCCTTTAGCTCCTGGCTAGATGTTTGGCAGCCCTGCGGTTTAGGGAAAACCTACATAAAAGAAAGTCATCTAACTTTGATAGACTTCAGTATTTCTTAAATTTTGCAAACACAATCTTGGTTTTATTCATCTAGTATCAGTGAATATCACATGAGCTACAGAGTATAATTTTTTTAGCTATTTGATTTTATACACCCCTTCCAATAGTATATTTTATATGATTTTATACATCCCATTTCCAACTAGTACCAAAACTATAAAATATTCAGAAGCATGAAAATATATATTTTTAATTGTGCAAGCTTTTTCACATATTAAACTCAGAACTTCAATTTGTCCTTCAACATGCTGGACTTCTGAAATTTGAAGGTTATGTCACCTTAAAATTTACTTGTATGGACGTGACTTTATTATAGCCACTCTCTTTAAGGTAAGAAGATTAAAGAAGTAGATTTTTTTATGGTTTGCTTTAGTATATTGAACATCTTTCTAAAATAAACTATAAGAAAGCCATTCTAATTCAGTGGAAGAGATGCTGAAAGATTCAAGATTAACATCCATTATTAGCAATGGAAAACGGAGGGAAAGATCCGTGAATTGTGCTCGTAGAATTCTGCCCCCATGGGAGACGGAAGGGTCAAGCCATGTTGCAGTCTGGCTGCAGCAAAATAACGGGGGGGGGGGGGGGGGGGACGAACAAGTTGTGTACATTGATATGCAGGAGTGGAAGCCTTTTATTGTAGGACAACAGAGGTATTTATACATTACACACAGCTTATCTAATTAACATAAACTAGATACAGCAGTCAACCAATAAGGAATTTCCACACTTAATGGCTCGCTGGCTTTACTTCACAAACCATTCCCTCTGGCATTTTGCCAGGTGTCATCCAGACTTGTTTACAGACTCTAACATTTGTCAGGTGCCATCCAGACTTGTTTACAGACTCTAACATTTCCCTCTTTTGTTTAATTTAAATAACGACCATAGTGGTTTTTACAGGAACACCATAAATAATCTGCTACAAGCAGAAGGGGAGGATAGAAAATGTCACAATACCAAGCCAATTGATGGCTCCATGCAAGAAGCCCTTGGAAAAATTATATCAGCAATGACACCGTTAGCAAAGATACCGAGTTACAATTTGTTGTAGATTACAGATTGTTGTCTCAGTCCAGGTAAAGCAGTGTCTCAATAGATTAACTCACAGTCCAGGTAAGTTCTGCAGGCAGCTAGCTTAAATCACAGTCCATGTAAGTTCTGCAGGCAGCTAGCTTGATCCGAAGTCTCGTCCGGTTCTCAGCCGAAGTCTCGTCTGGTTTTTAGCAACACTGTAAATTCTTCCACCTTTGTTTTCACCAGCACTGGGAGGAAGGCAGGAACTCTGGATGGCTAAAGAAAATCCTGTAGCATTCCACTAAGAAAACAACCTTCTGAACAATTTAGTACATTATCTCAAGGTTTTTTTACATTTGAAATAAGCATTAATAGTGCTTATTACTCATCAGCTTCCAGGTGTGGGAGAACCATTGTAGCTTAGTTATTGGCATTCAAAATGACCAAACATCAGGGACACCAGTAGTGTCTTCTGCTGGCTGTAGTGTCCTGGGCAGCCCCAGATGGCCCTGGGGAGTGTCCCGGACTCAAACTGCTACTGGGCACAGGGAGCAAGAGCCTGTGAGACTGTGCCTCCAGGTCAGGTCTAGATTTGGCCTCGCGACAGTGGAAGAGCCAGCTCCCCGGCCAGGAGGCGGGGAAGGGCCAGTCGCTGCCGCCTCTTGGAAAATCCTTGCTGTGCTGTGACCCGGTTGCACACTCGGTAGCTGCCTCTCGGCTTCACGCACCCTCCGGTAATGAAAAGTATTTAGTAATAGCCTTTTGCTGCAACTTTTTTTCCTGATAATCCTTCTTCTTCTGAATTTTCTTTTTCTTTCTGAGTAGAGTTCCTGGGATTCCATCAACACATGCCCTAACTATTCTTGGTTTCACTGGGGTGCCTTCTTCCCTTAGTAATTTATTTTTTACCCCTTCCATATTTTCAACACAAAGACAATACAACATTTCAAGACAAAACAAGACACAAACATACTGTATCATTTTTTTCCATTTTCTCGAAATGGCCATTTTTTCTTTTGCCCTATTTGCCTAGGGATGAGCAGATTGCTCCTGTCCTATCTATGGATGGGCAGCTTTTTTTTTTTCGTCACTTACCCCCGAGTGTCCCGGGGCTCCCCGTACGGGCCACCATCTGTTGCAGTCTGGCTGCAGCAAAATAACCGGGGGGTGACGAAAAACTTGTGTACATTGATACAGCAGGAGTGGAAGCCCTTTATTGTAGGACAACAGAGGTATTTATACATTCCACACAGCTTATCTAATTAACATAAACTAGATACAGCAGTCAACCAATAAGGAATTTCCACACTTAATGGCTCGCTGGCATTACTTCACAAACTATTCCCTCTGGCATTTTGCCAGGCGTCATCCAGACTTGTTTACAGACTCTAACAAAGCCAAAAGCCATCAGTGGGAAAGATGAAGAAAAGTGGGCTTTCAGGGCAGGAGTTTCTGGCTAGAAGCTGTTCTTTGCTCATTGTGTCAATTTTTCTCCCAGCTCCCTCAGGCTGATTCTCTAGGCTAAGATGGTGGGGATGGTGTTTGCTGTAGTCGAGAAAGAAAGTGGCAGGTTGAACCCAGGGGTAGGGCTGAAAAGCTTCCCAAGTCACACTTGGCTCAGGCTTCTCCAGGGAAGATGGACAGAGGGAAAGGAGGTGCTGGCACCAAGCGAGGGCTCTGGAAAGTTCAGAGGAGCTGGAGGCCTAGGTGGCAGGACATGCCTGGATAGCAAAGAGAGTCTGCAATGCTCACACAAGGGACAGCAGTCCAAACCCTATCATGCATAAGCAGATGGAGTCCGACAAAGACTTGCCCTAACCTGTCTCCCATGTGGGACTGACCTAGCCCTATTAAGTCCTTGGTGGGCAGCCGGGGAGAGCAGGGGTCAGGGTAGCTCAGTGTTAGACAGGACACCATGGGAGACAGACCCCATGTGGTTTCTGGCTCATCTCCATCTCTCAAAGGTTTTGGACATGCACACAGCTGGAGGAGGTCTCCCTGGCGGAGAACTTTGGAAAGCTCCCTCTAGTGAGACTGGGCAGGGGTGGCAGGGTGGGGGTGGGGAATGCCTTGAGAAAGCAGCTGAGGAATGGAGGGATCGGGATTTTCCAGAGACTTCAGAGATGATGTAGAACAGTTTTACTAAATACATCCTGAACTCCTTCTCTGACATTTCTTTGATGGATTCTCTTATGGGAGCAGCTTGGTTTGTTTGGAGCACTTTATTCCCTCGTTTTTTCATTTTGTTTGTGTGTCTTTCCATCTAGCCATGTGGATCTGAGGCAGGATAGTTTCTACTCTGTAGATTTGAAGTGTCCCTGAAGGTTTCCAGAAACTCGCAGATCTAGGCTCCGGTTTCTGCAAGCTCTGCCACACTGCAGGACCCAGAAGGCTCACCAACCGAGGACAATGGATGAACTCTGGGCAAAGAAGTAGATTTTGAATGAGTCAAGAACATAAAGAATTGGGCTACACAGCACCCTGTACTCAAAGCAAGACAGTGAGGAATGTGAAGATTGAAGATCAAGGGTAAGGCAAGTCATGGGACAAGTCAAGAAAGTCATCAAGGACAAAAGGAGCCAGTCACTAGAAAGCAAGTTAATGCAATAGATCAAATTCCAGAATCCTGGAAAACTATGAACCTAAAATATTAAGCAAGTTGATGGGGAAAGGCAGACATACAAAAGCACCAATATGGGAAAATGGGATTGGAGTACAAATATGAGCCCTAGTAAAAAAAAACACTTGCCACAAATGTCTGCTATAATAAATACCTTTACAAATAAAAGTCTTTTTACTGGAACAGGTGGTAATTACAGGCAAGGCTATTCCAAAGTCTAAAGGCTTCACCTAGTAAATGGTTCATCTGTTTAGAAAGCTAAATAAAAATATAACAGTGAATCCACTCTCATATATAATATTAATACACCAATAAAAATCTGAATACATTAAGAAAATCACAAAGGAAGGAAGGAAGGGAAGGAGGAAGAATGCATTTTAGACAAATGCAATAATCATCTCAAAAGGCAGGAACCTTCCAAAAGCTCACTGGAATTTGGGAAAAGAAGGATTCGATTGTTTTGTATGGTGGGATCTCCATTACCTTTCAATATGCCCATTTAAAATTTTTTTTTTTGATTTTTTATTTAGTGTTTCTAAATCAGTAAATTTTGTTTGTGATTATTTTTCTATTCATTATAGGTATCTAAAATATATACAGCAGAAACACTATGCTTTACACTAAATACATCATGCATTTATTATTAATTTAATTCATAAAAATATTTTAAAAATTATTAGTTGTTTATGGATCTTTATTTTATTCACTTATATGCAATGTTGAGAATCGAACCCAGTGCCTCACACATCCTAGGCACGTGCTCTATCACTGAGCCACAACCCTAGAACCTGTAAATATAACTTTAATGGTTAAAAATATGCATCAACTTTCAATATTGACCTTCAAAGTGAAATATATTTTCCTGGTAATATAGAGCTTATTTAGTCAATTTTTATATCATGTTTTGTAGTTTTTTAAACTCTAATTTTCACTTCCAATATGATAATAAAATCATTGGTTAAATATTGTGTTATGCCTTCTTTTCTTTTATATTAAAGGATTGATTTTACAAAATAGGATTCAAATTAAATAATACACAATAATCACAAATTACATCGTAGGATCAAAATTATGGCAACTCTATCAGGATTACAAGCTGCTTTTAAAAAGCCAAACAAATTTGGAATAAAAGTTTACTTAACACTTAACTGTAATTCTTGTGAATGTCTTGGTAAAAGAAAGAAACTCATTCATTACTGAAGTGAAGCAGGACTTCGAGGTTGGAGTGTTTGTCCTCACTGGTGACAAGCCAGCTTCGCCCTCTCCCTCCACTCATGGTAAGGCATCAGGTTTCCTTGGAGATGCATCCAGGGTTACACTGCTCTGTGCCCTGACACCATCTGAGTTCACTTTGAAATGAAGAAACACAGAAGCTACAGCCATCTGAGGTGGAGCCTCCTGGAGTTCTTGAGAGTTTTCTCTGTCATATACTAATGCATTTATTATGAGTAATTTGAAGTTTTTGAGGAACCATAATAGGAAATGTATTGACTATTGTTCCAGAGCTGTAACAGTGTTTGAAAGCTACCTACCCTTTGAATCCCCTTACTGAATGACCAAAGTTTTTTTTTTTTTTTCAAAAAAATTTCAAATTAATTCTTGATTCTCCTTTCCTTTAACTCAATCTCTATAATTATGACATTCTTTATTATTAATAAAGTATTAAATTGGGCTGGGGTTGTGGCTCAGAGGTAAAGTGCTCTCCTAGCATGCGTGAGGCATTGGATTCAATACTCAACACTACATAAAGTAAAATAAAGACATTGTGAACATCTGTAACTAAAAAATAAAATATTTGAAAAGAATTAAATCTAATTAATTACAATTAAGTCTAAATCTAATTATTTAAGCATATTACATAAAAGTTTTTCAAAAATCATTTTGTATTATATAACAAGAGATGGGAAAAATGTATAGTATGGTTACAGCCAATTTGTTATCCAGCAAAGACAAGTTTCTTCTTCATTCATAATTCTGCTCAAATTCCTTTCAAAGAAAGTAATCTTCAATATCTAATTTCTGGTTGTGATCCAAACTCATGAATACTTGTGAAAGACTGAAAGATTTGTAAGTGCATAAAATAACTATTCAGAGATACAACCTTTATTCAGTGTTCTTCAAATAATTTTAAAAATATCTAGTCACATTTTTTAAGCCTCATCTTTTACTAAGTACTTATCTTCACCAAGAGGGCATAGCATTATGCTTTCTAAAAAATGAAGAGGAAGAGGAGGGGGAGGAGAGGCAGGAGTGTGGACTTCAAAAATTTTGGAACTAAATTGAATGAGAACATTGAAAAAGAGAAGAAATTATTGTTGAAATTTTGGATACCAATGTAAATAGAGTTTGCTAATAGGGACTATATGAATATAAATTTTTAAGTGAAAATGTAAAGAGGAACAGAAAGACATGCAAATAATGAAAATCAGTTAGGGATTTCACCAAATTACAGATACAAATACTTTTATGATATATTTTTCAATTAAATTTTTGCTGAGTCTTTTCATGACCTCTGTTAATATTTGAGAATCATGGTTGAAAATGCCAGCTTTTAGCTTAAGCATCCTAAATAAATAAATGATGTACAGTTTTATTTATTCTGTTATCAATTAAAAAAAAATACAATGGTCTTCCTTATGGGAAAACAGCCACCTTTCCTTGTGTTTTAGTGCATGGTTGTCCCTTTGTATTCATGGAAGGGTGGCTCCAAGCCCATCCCCCCCATACACAGAAAAATCTGCTGAATTTCAAGTTCCTTATGTACAATAGTGTTATATGTTTATATGACTTACTGCACATCCTCCGGTATACTTTCAGTCATTTTTACATTAATCATAACATCCCGATACATTTTATTGCGATGTTATATTTTATTGGGATGTTCAGTATTGTTTAGGAACTAGTGTCTAGAATAAAGGTATGTACATGTATCATGATGATTGCATTTATTTTCAGATTTCTTCAAACTCATCATTGACTGAATCTACTCGTATATAACCTGAAGGTATTCAGGACTGACTGTACTTCAAACAACATATAGGATTATAATTAAGATATTAAATGTTATAACTTTCTCCATAAATACAGTATTTTAATAATCCCAAATTACTACATCACATTTTATTATCCTAAATCATACAATGTTTTATTTATCTGATCAGACTACTATAGAGAATGTTATTAGTACATGGCCAACACTGCTAGATGCTTTGGATATGATGCCACATATTAAAGTTGATGCTAACATCTAACACCCACAGTTAAAGACTAAACAGTCTCTTAGTAAAATTTTATTAATTGTTAATGATACAAATGTACAAACAACTGTCAGGTTATACTTCTAATAAGAATATTAATGAAGAATGCTCAGTGTCAGTTACAGCATAGAATAAATGAAGTCAGAAAGATAAAAAAAAAACTTACTAGAAAAAATGCAAAGAAATTAAGACTTCATAGATGAGGAAGAACTTTTGGAAAAGAGGGTCAGGAAGGACATTCCATTGAGAGGGAAAAGCAACCTTAAAGGCCTCGGGAGAGAATGAATAAGGATAGATATCAGGGATTGAAGTCAGCGTACCTGCAATAAAGAGCTAGAGAAAATGTGTGGAGTTGAGGAGGCTGGAGTATTCAGTAGGCAGGAGCCCAGTGAGGACACCATGCTAGAGTCCTCGAGCAGGGCGATTATAGGATGAGACTGAGATGAGGAAAAATAGAATCATATAAATATTTCCACTTAAACAGATAGAACAAACCAGAGAGGAGGAAAGTTCCCCAACTCAGCAGCAGGAAGCTGTTGCAAAGCTGAGAGAGAAGTGCTGATGGTTCTGAAAGAGATAAAGAAAATACTGGACTCTGGGGTGATTCAGGAAGTGAAAGTTTTTGGTTTTTTTTAACGTGTCATTATTTGGATATAGTATGTGAGAGGGAAAGCAAAATAAAAGCTAAACCTTTAGCTTTCAGTTGATTGTTTGGATTGTGGAATATAATATTCAGTGACAGAGGGATTTGGGAATAATCGTAATAATTTGGGGAAATAGAAATAATCCTCCAAATGTGACCCTCTCTCTCTCTCTTTGTCCCCCACCTTTCTCTCTCATTTGTAATTGAGAATTAAATCTACAATGATGCCACAGACACTATGGAAATTCACACTAACCCCACATAAATTTTTTTAAAAATTCTGTTTACTATACATGTCCCATTCTTGTTTTGGTTTTCACCTTAACACTTTTGAATTTGGGACACGTCTAACATCAGATAATCAACAGTATTACCCTAATATTTTTTTCTGTTGTATTCATTGTTTTCTTCATTTCCCTGCTTTTTTTTCCTGAAAAATTGACATCAAAGGATAAAATATCTTAAAAAATGTGTCAATTGGGAACCAAGAAAATATGTTTTTCATCAAATCATTCAAATAAGAACTGTTGGCAATAGAAATTTCCAAATATATTTTTTCGATGACATTTTAAAAAATAAACTTAATATTAACATCTATAGTATTACAAAATACATGTTATTGTAAGCTATGGTAATATTTGGAAAATTTAGAAAACTACCCATATGTTCATTACTGTACACTGTATTTAGGAATATGTTTTAAAATATTTTAATCTCAAGAAAGTGGTTCTACATTTTTTCTACTATTCAGGTAATGTCCAACTTCTTTAAATTTTTCTGATAAGTAATATTTCTACAGAGGTTAGACCCAATGCTTCTCTACTATCATACTTTTAATGCAGATGTGGTCCTGTAGCCAGACTGTTTTGTTTTGCTTTGCTTTTATTTCTATGCTCAGAATGCCTTGGTCTTGTAGATTTATTTTCTTTGATATTATATATTGACTAATGATTATAGAGAAGTTCTATGTGTCAGGGATCAACCTAAGTGTTTTCCATTAATTAGGTCATTTAAAATACAGCATCCCTATTTTTCTTACTCCTGCCTTATAGAACCAAGGCAGAGGGAAGTCAAGAAATGATTTCATTTTTGCGTAGATAATAATACCAGAGTCAAGTAAGAGAAAAGAAAAAAAAAAATGCTGTAGATGTAGCTTATTTCTTGACATATGCAGGAATTCTAATGTTCACTGTTTTTTTTTTCTCTAAATTAGTAATTTGTGCAATATTCTTGAGCAGATTTTCTTCCATAACAAATCATGTCCCATTAACCTGCATCTTGTCTTTCCAACTTTCTATCAGTATCAGTAGTCAGCCCAATAAATAACGCTTCCTCTGCATTCTCCACAATATAGCTCTTCCAAAGTGAATTCAAGCTTATTCAATGAAATCTCATCCTCACCCATTTTAAAACAGACGAGTAAGTAAAAGTAAATGAAACAATGTTTTAGATTTACAACTGCTCTCTGTTATCCAGTTTTGTCCCATGGCTTCAGTTAATATTTTTTGTATTTGCATTCTTAAGTTTCCAATGTTTCATTAGCTTTGGAAATTGTTTAAATCTGCTTTCTTTCTTCTGTATTTAACATTTATGCTAGAATTGCTTCCGATTTTTATGAACATGTTGTATTCTATTTTTCTTGGCCTGTCTCTAACATTTACATTTGCAGGTCACTTTTTCTTTCCAAGACATACATTATCCTCTGACCTTTGTTCCCATAATGTTCACTGCTGTAATCCAAAGTGCCATCACTACTTTCTGCAATGGCTTTGTAACTGGTCTCCTTTCCATTACATGAGATCACTGTTTTATAATTTTTTCCTAAAATTGCTGGATAAAGTTCTTTTTACCCAACATCTCAGAATGCCTCCTATCTCTTCAAAAGCCACTTGGATATATGTACCACTCTTAGTTTAAAACTAAGCAAGTGTTCTGAGTTCCCCCTGCCTCTGGAAGGTGATTATGTCAATAAATCCTTTCCTAAAAGGTCTTCTAGCAACCTGTTGTTGTCATTTATACACTGAGAGAATTTCTAGCTTTTCTCTCAAGAATGCATAGTAGATTTAGTGATTCACTTCTAAAGAACAGTACGTTGTGAAAGAAGAGTGGATGGTTTATAAGACTGGGTTATAAAAGGCAAAACATACCAAAGTCCACTTCTAAGTGCCTTCTTCCCATAGCCCCCAATTTGCAGTAGAATTCCATTCTTTTACCTTAACGTTAAATATAACTCATGCTGTATTAATATGAAAATAGATTAGTGGTCTGTAAGTATAGTTTATGCAATTAACACATACAATCTACTAAAATATGATCACCAAAATAATGTAATGTGTTTATTACATTTCTAAGAAAAGTCAGCCTTGAAAACCTAAATTTAAAACTTAAAGTCAAATTTAATTCTTGCATTTCTCTGTCTTTCTCTGTGTGTGTGTATGTGTGTGTGTGTATTCTCAATTTCACAGGGCTTGGAATTAAACCCAAGTCTCACACATGCTAGACAGGCATTCTACCAATGGGGTAAATATGCAGCTCTTTTAAAATCTTGAGACAGGGTCTGAGCTTGAACTTGAACTTGCAACCCACCTTCCTCAGCCTCCTGATAACCGGGATTATAGGAATGTGCCCCCATGTACTAATTATGTCTCAGTTTTAAAAATTTGTTTTAATTAGTTAAATGTGTCTAATTATTAACTATTTTTACTTTTAATAATTAATGTGTGAAATTATATATAAAAATAACCTCATTAATATTGATTTATATGAACAAGCACACTAAAAAGTCCCTGTAAGTGAAAGTTGAATTTTCTGCTTCTCTTGGCGAGTGGGTTCCTAGTAAGTGGCAGGCCTCAGCAGCCAAGGTGCTCTTGATAGGAGACTCTACTCACTGGCATTCCAGCAGACCACAGAAGCTCAACACCAACTTTTTTCCCCAGGAGTCCCAGCTTCTGAATTTACAAGATGCAAACTACCTCCAAGCATTTCACAACAATTCTTCAGTTGACTGTGCTCAGCTAGTGGTGTATATACCTGTTGGTTCAATGCTATTGGTTCATGTTTATGCTAACAAGGGTTTGGAAAAAGTACCATCCCCATTGGTGGAAACTTAAGAATTGCTCATGGCCCCGCGCCCCCTGAGGGAAAAGCAGAAGCCAGGGCAGAGAACTTGTGCTTATCCAACAGGGAGTCCTCCAGTCCATGCTGCAGCTAGAGGTGGGGGGGTGGGGAGGAGATGGGGGGGAGGATGTGTGGGGGGAGGGGGGAGGATGTGGGGGGTGGGGGGAGGGGGGAGGATGTGGGGGGGTGGGGGGAGGGGGGAGGATGTGGGGGGGTGGGGGGAGGGGGGAGGATGTGGGGGGTGGGGGAGGGGGGAGGATGTGGGGGGTGGGGGGAGGGGGGGAGAGCCGGGGGAGGAGCCGCGGCTGCCTCCCAGAAGGCGCAGCCAAAATGGAGCCAGAGTAGCCAGAAGAGCCTGAGCAGCTGGAGGAGCCAGAGTAGCTACCGCTGCATCCCAGAAGGAGCGGCCATAGTGTCTAAGACAAAGCTGCAGCTGGAGCACGGGAGCCCCTGGAGCGCAGGTACCTCTGCGGAGCAGGAGCTAATGCCGCCGCCGCCAGGAAAAGGGAGCCACCGGAGCACGCATGCGTTGGAGTGCGGGAGCCGCCCGCCACCTGCTGCCACGGCCGCCAAAGCCTTGAATTCGCTCCAATGCAGGAGGCGACTTTTCTGCTGGAGTGCAGGAGTCAATGACGCTGCCGCCAGAGCACGGGACCCAGCACCACCTGGTTGGTGGCGTCCAGAATTCAGGATCCCACAGTGCCGCCAGCAGAGGACCGGAGATGCTGGAGGGCAGGAGCCAAGGCTGTTGCAGCTGGAATGCAGGAGCTGCTGCCTCCAGAGCTCAGAGCCGCCCCCAGGGAGCCCAAGCCAAAGATTCCAAGCTGGGAGCCCCTGGGGAAAGGTGCAGGCACCGTGGGTCGGAGGACTGCAGCTTCTGGGGAGGTCCTCTTGGGCGAAGGGAGTCGCCACATTGGAGGAGGTCTGACCCAGGGTGGGCGTCTTTCTGTGCTGGAAGTGTGACTGTGAGTCCCGGGGTTGCGGGCTGGAGGTAAGCGGTACCTCTGGTGTTTTCAGGAGTGTGTAGGGGTAGCTGCAGCATGAGGATCCCTCAGGTGGGGGCATACCTTGCGGTGTCTGGGTGGGATCCCATTTTGTGGAGGTACAGGTCTCAGTGAGGTGATCTTAAAGGGGAGTCAAGCTCCTGGGGACAGGAAGGCCTGTTGTGGGGGGTGATATGGAAAGGGGATGCCCAAGGGAGCCCAGCCTTCAGCAAAAAGGAGAGGCTCAATTTGGGGCCATGAAGACTTCCTCCCACAACCCAACATTCTCATTCCTGGGAGACAACTCTAGGAGTCTGAAGGCCCCTTCACTTAGCGTTCCAGGCCAGAGTGTATGGACTGCTCCTTTGGCATATGGGTCTCCTCACCCCTGGCTTTCTATGACAGGAAGATGGCAGGTTTTTGCTTGCACTCTCCCTTGGGCCAACCTCGAGCTGATTCAGGCCTCTGGATTCATAGCTCGGTCCAGGTCCCTGTAGAGGTTGGGGATGTTTACTGTTGTGGAGACTAAGGGTAGCATTTCCATGTCTGGACTGTGAATGTGTGGGTCCATAAATATGGCTGTGTGTGCATGAGTGTATGTGACTGGAGTATGTGCATATGAGAATTTGTGTGCACCTGTCTGGAGATGTCCAAGTGTATATCTAGGTATTGTGTGTATGTGTATCTGTCTGTGTGCATGAACAGTTTTTGTGAGTCTGTACTTGTATGATACGTGAGATCGTGGGAGTGAATAAGGCTATGACTGTGTGTGTGCTTGTGTGGTCACTGTGTATTACCCTTCCCTCAGCGCCACCATCACTCAGCCTGGTGCCACATTGCAGCTATGTTTGCATCTTGCAAGTTTTCAGCCCAAGATAAAGGGAATACAAAATAAAAGACACAGAATAGAGAAGTAGAAAAAAGCCAGAGGGCAGAGTGTGGGGTAAAGGTGTGAACAGAAAGGGACAGAGCATGCTCTTCCCAGCCCTGAGTGCTTCCATTTGGGAAGGTGCTGCAGCCACTGCCCAGAGGCAGCATATGACATGAGGCCACAGCTGCCTGCTGTCAGAGCACTCTTGGAGCTGGGAGTGTGCACATAGGGGCAAGTTGGTGCCATCTTGGATTCTGAGTTCTTCTTTGGTTTGCAAAGGTGGTAGCAGCGCCTCTGTAAAGACAGATGATGCACAGAGGTGTGGCTTCCAGCAGGAAGGACAGTGGCTAGCTGAATATGACCAAGAGATGGTGGAGCGCATGACCTCAGCATTTTTGACAAGGCACAGAGTACCTGTGTGAAGGCCACCTGGAGCTCACCTGCCAGGTAAGGGCTGCACTAATTACCTGACGCTCAGTCAAGTGAGTGGCAGTAGTGGATGACCTGGTTCTAAAGCTCCTTGCTAAAGGAGGAAAATATTTTAAGTGCTATAGGAAATGTTTTTGCTAGAGGAGTTGAAAGAAGGAAATTTGGAGGGAACAAAAGAGGTTGTTCTGTCAATTTGAGACCGGGGTCGGTTTGAACCTGAGAAGGCAGTCTGCTGCCTACAAGATTAGAAAAACCTCATGCTTGCTAACATTGAAAGAGATTGGCATGCCCACATTTTACCATTGTTTTCCTTTTCTATAGTTTATGTTCACTTAAATAGCTTAATTCTAATCTAATTACTAATGTAAAAAAGCACAAGGTACAGCTAAGAGATTGCATTAGGAAACTTTAATATTTAACATGGGATTTTAAAAAAATTCTATTTATCCAAAACCTGACTTATTTTGTGTAATGCCTTAAAGTCTGATGATTGATGTTGGTGGTGTGTTATACATGAACTGTCTTCTATAGTATTTTTGGTAATTTTGAAACATTCAGAGTTAACAAAATGAGTCTTTCAATCAAGACTTTTATATTGTAGTTGTATGTCAATATTAATAAGTTTGATATTGCATCTTTTAACCAAGTTCAAATTCTTGCAGATTATACTTTGAGCAATTATTTATCTGCAGCAGATGGAAAAAAATATTCTATATGTTACTATTTTAGAAATGTATGTTAAGTAAATATATACTGAAATGCATTGAGAAGTCTATCCAAGATGTTTTAGAATTTTACAAAATCTTGTCAAATTCATAAAGTGTAGCTTTAAAGACAAATTTTATGAGATATCACAAAACACTATTTTAAAGTACTAGTCACAATCCTTTTATTTTGGTAGACGAAAGAGTGAAGGAAAGCTGGCACTTTTTAAAAAACAAAATTGGTGCAAGAAAATCTTTTGAGTAAAAAAAATATATAAAAATCTCATATATATATATATATATATATATATATATATATATATATAGAGAGAGAGAGAGAGAGAGAGAGAGAGAGAGAGAGAGAGAAAGGGGAGAAAGTGTCCACTTTAAAATATTTTCCAGATGGAAAAAAATGCAAGAATTTTTCCCGCTTTATGTAAATTTTTGGTCTGGTGAGTTGCCAATTTGAACTTGTTTTTGTTTCATGTGAGATTCAGATACACAGTGATATCTATATGGTTCTTTGAAAGGCTTTCAGCTGCTGAGGAAGTGTATTTATGCTTTCGGTTCAAAAGAACTTATTCCCTGGAAAGCACTGAAAAAAAAATGAGGACATTTCAGAATTATTTTCAGATTATTTTTCATATTCCTTTTTGATACTATAGGTTATTTTATCTGTTATAGGTGTTAAGTACTTTTTTATGAAGTAAAAATTTAGACTATATTTGGAAAAAATACCTAGCTATATCTGATATTTAAAAGATGTTTTGTCAAAAGCATAAATTAACAAAGGTGACAAGTTAATGGAGGTGGGCAAGTTAATTGAACTCTTTCGCATTATTTGAGAAAATAGCATATGTTTGCTGACTTTGGGAATCATGGCTGGTGAGAAATCACTAAAGATTTACCAGAGGCGACTTTATCATAAACAAAATCTACTAAAATCTGCAGGTTCGAATTCATAATGGTTATAAATGTTTCTAGTATTCATACTGTCCAAAAGTTTCAAATCACATGTCCAATAGCAGCTGATTTGTTAGTTTTTAGGGATGGTTAAATATATGCCCATATTTTATTAATTCATACTATCCACAAGTCCAGATACAATGTAATAAAACATTTTCAGTGAATCACTTTCTTCCTTTTAAGTATTTACTTCTTTGACCTGGTCAAATTAGTGAACTGATTTAGAAGATAAAATCTAGAAAATACCACAGGTCTTACAATGTCAAATATTGATCATTGGTGGTACACATAGGTAGCTTTTGTTTTTGTTTTATGGAAAAATATGTTAGAAGTGTTGATGGGAGGCTAAACTATTTGATTCATATCAACCTGTATATTTTTAAGTTCTACATATTTTTAATTTCTTTACAAATATTTTAATACTTATTGTTAAGTACATATACACCAAGAGAAAATATTAAATAAAGGGAAACACTTGCTTGGGGAGTTTAAATTAGCTTTAAATATATATATATATATATATATATATATATATATATATATATATATATATATATAGTGTAGTTTTTGACTATTTTAGATCATAGTTCATTGCCTCACTTGGCATGAAATAAAAACATCATATTTAACATATTCCTATCAGTATTTCTTTATATTTTATAAACATCCTACATGCAAAATTGGTATTAAGTTTAACATAAAATTTCACTCAAGAATTATAAAGACTGGACTGGGGATGTGGCTCAAGCGGTAGCACGCTCGCCTGGCATGCGTGCGGCCCGGGTTCGATCCTCAGCACCACATACAAAGATGTTGTGTCTGCCGAGAACTTAAATAAATAAATATTAAAAAAAAAAAAAAAAAAAGAATTATAAAGACTAAGTTAGATTACCAACTCAAGTAGTGTATGTGCTCTCACAACTGTTTGGCTGCCAAACATAGGTTAAAAAAATTTCTTTACCTAAACTCTTTGCATTGTAATGAAATAAATTCTGACTGCTTGAAAAGTCATGATCTACTGGAAATTTGCCTGTAAAATAATTCGTAAACATTAAATATTTTGAATATAGGATTCTTCACAATTGATATAAATAATTTTGTATGTACATTTGATAACATCAGTGTTGATTTTTAATGTTTATCATTATTTTCTGTGATTTGTCTAATACATATTTGGTGATTTTTATTAAAGTACTGGGTACTTTCTCCAAGACTGAAATGTCAATATAAAGTGTACTTGATTGTATTAAAAATGTGTTGCAGGAATTGAGCAAGCAAAGAAAAATATAAAGGCTTTTTATGGTCTTTTTCTGTAGCTCTTTATTGATGCTATAGATAAGATGGTGCTGCTATGTTAGTGAAAGATAAAATACAAAACATTTCACTTACTTCAAAACTTGAACAGAAAGGCTATTTTATTTTTTTTTTATTTATGCATTTAAAGTCCAAGTTTGTTTTCTCTTTTTTAAAATCCTGAGTGACACTTGAAATGTCTCAACAATTTTCAGACTTCTTGATGATGGACTATTTGTGGCAATTTTAAGGAAAATCTGTTTTATAGGTAGCATAAAACACTTTTAAGATTGTGTCTCTAGCACAATTTGTGATACAGGAGGAGTATCTTAAAGACAAAAGACTTAGGATAATACAGACCTTACTGGGTAGATATAATCTTCTTTCAACTTCAGATTTGAACACTTGCAGTGTGGTATATCATAAATGTGGGTTTCTTAAGAGATTTTCTTACTAGAAATCAAATCCTTGGTGACACACATTTGTGTTAGTCTTTTCAACAGTGGGTTGAAGTTCAGCCATAGCCTGAGGGAGAATCTCCTGATCATTGTAAACTGCAATAGTGAAGACTCTGTTTTTGACAGGTGCAAACCATAAAAATTACCCTGTCATTTTTCCTAACTTAATAAAGCTTAAAGACCAATCATATCTAAGTTGTCTTTTGGTGTTTTAATATTTACCATTTTAAAACAGAAAATGGTTCCTTTGTGCAAATTTTTTGGGGTTGATGCATTGTCAGATTCTAAGAACTCACTTAAATAAAAAAGATTAGCACTAGCAATCTTATTATTTTTTTTTCACAAGCAGTAATTCTGACAATAATAGTATGTCTATCAGTTAGGTATGAACTAGCCAGTGCAGTACCACTGTGAATTCTAGCAAGAAAGATAATGTGAGATGTTTTGGTTTTATGTTTCTCAAGCTAAAAGACAAAGGAGTGTTAGTGAACTAAACTTGGACTCCTTTAGCCCTGACACTTGTATTCAGTGAGCTTCCAGTATACAATTATTTGGTTTAATATCTAAACTATATTTTCATATAAGTGCCAATAGCACAGTATTTTATAGTAATTGCTTTCAATTATTTCATCAATAAAGCTAAGTCCCTAGATATCCTGGGAAAAAATTGTGTATACTTTATAAATTCTTGTTTGTGGGTGATTCAAATGATAGACATTATAAAACTGTGTTTTCTAATTTTTACATTTTATTCTCATAAGATTGTCTTTTTTCTAATTTATTGAATATATCAAGATTTGTTTACAAAAACTTATCTAGTAAAATAATTTTTTAAAATTGATAATTTCAAATTAGAAAGAATGTCTAGTTTCTCTCACAGTCACCACAAAAGTTTACTTGTGAGTCTGCTTAATCTGTTTTTACTACATATGCACACTCTAAGAAAATCGTGTCAAGAAATAACATAGCTAACACCTATGAACAATTTTTTGGCAGTCTGTAACTTTTGTAGCATGTTCTTTGGGAACGTACCATGTCTGCACTTCCACAAAGGCTAATTTGTCATTTATTAATGGAAAAAAATCATAGAGATACAAGTGTACTTTGAAATCATTTGGAGAACTTATACCCCCTTGATTTAATAAAGGAGTTGCTTTGTGATACCTCTCAGAGAGCAATACACGTCCTGCTTGAACATGGAAAGTGACAAGAGTACACTACCTCACCAAGATAGCAACTTTAATTCATGAACATCTCTTCTTTTGTTGAGCAAAATTAATTCTATTTTTTTTTAAATCTCCTGATACCAATGTGGCTATATAGAATTTTTTTCTCGATTACATTTGAGCTTGAAAGTCTCATGTGCCTTGGTTTCCAAAACCTATACTCTCCCAGTTCCCCTCACCTAAATAGTTTTTCCATGTTAATCTTTATGTGTGATATGCATCTGAATGTGATCCACTTTACAGTCTTACTATGAAAAGACATCTCTCTCTTTTAAACAGATGTTCTGCTTGTCTGAAAGATTTCAGGACTATACTATTTTTAATATGGAATTTACACTTGTCTTTTATGAATTTAGATTTTGCACACTTCT